AGTGCACAGTCCTGAATTTACATTTGTAATTATCATCATACAATATGAAAAGGTTTTATTTCATAGAATAATAAATAAATTTGAAATATATTTCACCGCTTTATCCGTTTCTCTCTATACAGATGCACGGACGTATCATGTTCCCTATAATATTTCACGGTGTTTTCTCGTTATCCGATTTCATCGAGCTCTTTGATATTAAGATCTGCTATTAATTTCTGGATGTACACGTAGGCACGTAAAATGATATCTATCATATGTCACATAGCACACAAAGTGTTAAACCCTATACACATTAAAGTCATCCCTCCGATCAAAGCTGTTATTGTCGCGAATTACATTATTTTCAGTTTCAAACGCGGGATCTTGAGGGGACGTCGCGATAATTTGTCCCTTTCGTAACGCGTAAATATCATCCGTCTGTGCGCGCGTGTACGCGCGTGTCTGTATGGAGCCGTGTAAACGACGGCGTCAAACGTTGCGTGCGGCATTGACAAATTATTCTGTTTGATATCATTGAATACGAGGGTCCACGCGCGAAGGGGCGCGGGCGGTCCTTTCCCCCTTTCGAAATAGCGGAGTCGCGTGGAAAACCGATGGAGGGGGAGAATTGGGGTATGCGGAAAGGGGTAGACTGCCGGGGCCGCGAAACTAACGGAACCGTATAATCTCGCCCGCTGGCTTTCACGCGGTTTACTTTCCGCGGAGTGTGGCGTATATGAGGACGTAGGCACGCGAGAAAATTGTAAACGGACTAAGATGGATTGGGTCTGAAAGCGACTTTATCGAGTATACCCCATTGCGCGCGAAACGAGCAAAACGGTCCGCCGCTTTCAGCTCGTAGATTTCAGGAGATTATAGCGCGCACCTAAGTGATCACCGGGTGTTGTAAATCAGTTATACTTGAAGTATCAATGTGTCTTTTGTGACACTTAATTATGCATTATTGAATTTCATCAACAAAATTACCCTCTTAATCTCATCGTATCTTTTGGAAAACATGAAATCCTCTGAAAGTTCTCTTCTTTGGAACTTTTGCGTGTAATCAAATTATTTTTATGCAATTTTGAAGAAAGGCTTATATATATACAAAATATTGTATCTTGTAATTGAAAAAGAATAATGTATATCAATGTCTCAGAGTTCTGAATATTTATATTTTCAAGATAAAAGAATATATCGACTCACCGATTTATATGAATAAGATATACAATAACATTTATTAAATGTATAAAACATATTTTAATTGCATTTTTATAGAAGCGCAAAATATATTTTTCATAAAATATATAATTAATTTAAATAGCTTATGCGGAAAATCATTGCGGCGTTTGCTTCATCGAAAATTCTGCATTTTGCATTCTGCAATTTTGCATTCTTTTTATGAGGCATAAAATTAATATCGCTTTTTACAAAGGTCTTCCCATTCGCGACGTTGATTTGAAGCGAGAGAGTGGGAATCAGTAAATTAACCTACACTGTTGGGCGGAAGTTACCGTTTGCGGAATCTATATTTGAATTTCGTGTTTGCTTGCGCCTGGTGCATGGCGCAGCGATCCGTTCAAGTCAACCCACGGTAGGTTTATGTCAGTCCCTCCTCCCGCCTCCCCCTCTCTCCCTCTAAAACAGAAGCGTGTAAACAGGCGGCTAATTACGTCGTCTCCGATAATTTTACGCAGTCTTTTGCATTCCACGTTTAACGTTTGACATTCCTTTGCCCGCAGTATAGCAAATCGCGAGCGGTTATGGTCGCGGGCGCAAATATTTACGCGTTGCATTCGTAATACTTGCGCGATATTAATGCCGCCTGCAACCGATAACCAATCATTGCTCGGTGCATTTTTACGGCAACGGATTTACGAGCCACGTGCGCGCATTTGCGCTAATATTAAGATAACATAAATATTGAATTACCGTGCGATATAATCGTGGTGATAATTCGCAGCAAACAGCAAAATGTTCGCCGGTTTTGCTAATAATGTACCCGTTCAATAAATACAATACGTAACATATCCTACCTTTAAAAAAGCATGTTATTGACTTTTGAAGCCTCTTTTCGTTGTCATCGCGTTATCCATCGGTTTGTCTATCGCGAAGTTTGCATTGATGATTTTGTTTATTATCAATCATTGTTGTTATAGAGATGATTGCGTTTGACAGTTTTATTCTAACAGCTGTTTGGCGAGTTTAAAGTTTTTAAACGGATACAAAAAGAAAGAACAGAAAAAAGGCGCGCGTGTATGTCCTAGTGTATTTAAAATTTGAAATCAAACAACTCATCATCCATGAGTTATTAAATTGAATCCCAAAGAAATTTAAAAACCATACTACGATAAATATGAAGCACTTTGTATGCAACATATTATGAGCATATTATGTATTATGTAATGTGTAATTAAGTTGCGGAAGTCTGTGAGGTTTCGCGGTGAACCTTCCCAGGCGGTCGGTACTTAAAAGCGTTAAGACGGTCCAAGGAGACCTATCGTAAAGCTATTTACGAATCCAATCGGAAACGGAATTTCCGACTACCGTGCTTTCGACGCTGGGGAAGATGATATTGTGGAATCTACCGAGAATATGGAATCGCAATGTATCCCTTTCGCAATGCGCAATGCGCTAGAATTCAACGGCAGTTAATGAGATTGTTAGGAAACTAGCAAAAGGGTTTCATCTATTTATTTACAAATAACAAATGAATATGTATTGCTTCAATTTGTTTCAGCAATTTAAGTAGAACAGTAAAGAAACACACCACGACGCAATAGTGTGGGGGATCCACGTGTTTTCAATAGCATAATAATAAATCGATTAAAAGTCATCAAAACAGGAAAGTCGACGATTGACGTAAAACAAATCACGACGAGCTTTCGGAGAAGACAATCACGAATTCCAAAAGGACGAGTCGCGATGGCGAATGCGAAAATGGCAAGTCTTGCGTGACAATCTCGACGATTTCTTGCTTATTCCCAAATAATTTCTTATATATCATTATCTAGGAATAAATATTATTGATCATTCTTTTTTTATTCTTAATTGATTGTATTCCTCTACAATAGCGTTGCTCCTTTTGCTTTGAATTTCTTAGTAATATGTGCAAGATTTATGTCTACGATTAGGAAAATTAAGATCAAGAATATCTCAATTGGATATCTTTTCACGTAGTTACGTAAATAACAGATCTGAAGTTTCTCGATGATGATATTTCCGTTGAATTTCGAATATCTAGTCATTATCCATCGCCAAGATGGTTGGTCCATCTAAACGCATCTCGGATTACCCAGGCTAGGATGACTCATCCTAGTGAAACCTCACGAACTTCCGTTCCGTACTAATAACACATTGCATATTGATTATTGCGTTCATTATCCCGTGTAATCCGATTTCTGTTTCTGCAATAACAAGCGTAATGATAGTGTATATTAAACTCCAACAGTATTCGATAGCTAATAATCTCTAAAAACAGATTATCTTAGCAAATTATTATACAGACAATGTTAAAGTGTTGATTTATATTTTTGACAAATATTTCTTCTCTATATCTTAAAATAATGTGTCATTTTCAAATTGTTTGCAGTAATGCTTAGAAATCTATCAACAATGAAATTTGCTTCTATGTTCTAATTCTCTAATCAATTTGTAATCGGGCGGCTAACTTCACGGCGCCCCCCATTATGTAAAAAATCCAAATTTTTTTATAGTTTTAAGTAGATTTCAAATAGTTCTATGGTTCTAGATAAGTTTCAAAAATAGTTCTGCTCGAAATACTACGTAAATTAAATTTGAAATTCTCGACTTAGAAAACGAAAAATAGCGAGAACTCATTCAATTTTGATTTTAGCGTTTCAAGCATTAAGGATAATCGTTAGAACTCGTGAGGGGCTATACAGAACTCTCAACAGAACTGCCGGTTACCGAGAAAAAATTTTTTTTCTGTAGGACTTAGAAATTTTTTGAATCCGAAACTTCAACAATCGAGAACTTTTTTATTTCGCCTCTGAGCGTTTCGAGTGTTAATAATTATCGTTAGAACTCTTCGGGGGCGTCCAGAACTCTCAACAGAACTGCCGGTTACCGAGAAAAAATTTTTTTTCTGTAGGACTAGAAATTTTTTGAATCCGAAACTTCAACAATCGAGAACTTTTTTATTTCGCCTCTGAGCGCTTCGAGTGTTAATAATTATCGTTAGAACTCTTCGGGGGGCGTCCAGAACTCTCAACAGGACTGCCGGTTACCGAAAAAAAATTTTTTTTCCTGTAGGACAGAAATTTTTCAAATCCGAAACTTCAACCATCGAGAACTTTTTTATTTGC